TTTCATACAATGCTGAAACATGTAAAGAAGTTTTCATTTAAAATTTTATCCCTACTTATATGTGATATTATAGGTAATTTTTAACCTGTTCATCACCAGTAATACATCACTGAATACAGATAACCAGCAACATGTGAAAATAAAACAAAAAATTTAAAGGCTACTGAAAATTCCATCAAGTTAACTAGTAATTTAGCTTTGTAAAATGAGTTACAAAGTTTTTATACCACGATAAATGAAATAAAAATATTTTTAGCAGATTCGAATACTTCACAGATTCTGAGTTTTTTTTAAAAATTGTCAGTTACTTTAAAAGCATCTGAAGTAAGTGCTTAGTCAAAATATACCAGGTCTGACGAGATACTCTCATTTATTTACTTTTTTTCAAGAAGTTAATTCACATCTTTACAATATTTAAGAAAAATGAATTTAATTTTTTAAATAGATAAGAAAGTATAACCAAATCAAAAGTTTAATATAATTAATATCAGAACACATTAGTAATAGACAAGCTATCAAAATAAAAATTTTAAATGAAAATAATCAATTATTGAAAATGAAATATAATAACACTAAATTATATATAAAATTAAAATAACTCAGTAGCTTTTATTTACTTACATCAACTAAATTTCTGATATATTGAAGTACATATTTAATTCTTAATTAGAAAACATTCTTAATTGTTGAATATGCATTTTTTAAGAGAAATGTCTCAGTTAAACAAAACAAAAATATATGATATAAATCAAATAGGTAGATTTTTTTTCATAAGAATTTTTTAAATCCACAATCCTACTCATAAGTCATGATCACTTTAAAATGATAGAGATTTTATTTATTTACATTGTGGTCGTGGACAATTTTAAATACAATTACAAGACATAATGTAATTTATATTTTTATCCAACTTCTTCTGGGCTAGATTATTCTTTCAGGATGATACCACTACAATTCATTTATCACGAAAAAAAACTAGGACAATTTATTACAGGTTTCCAGCCAACAATAGTTTTTATAAGTACTTCTTAGTATAAAACAGGAACCACATAGATCACCTAGAATAACAGAAAAATAAAACAAATTAAGATATACATAATCCCATATATTTGATAAGTAGATTAAAACTACTACTAATCAATAAACATTAACTAAATTACTTTGATTTAAATTGTTCGATTTTAAATATCAATGGAATTTTTTACAAATAAGTAAGCTGGATAAAAAAAAAAAGTCTTTTTTTGTTTGAGAAAATAGATATCTAGGTTTTTTAATTGGGGGGAGGATTTTTTTTAAATCATTCATATGTTACAATATCGCATTATTTATCTTCGAAGGGATAGCATAGAACAATTTTAAACTATACCTATATTTGATAATGAATATCATAAAATATTTAATAGCAATTAGTGCAAAGCAACTCGTGAAACTAAAATATTAAATAGAAAGATCTAATGAATGTTATATTTTTAAAAAAAAGAAATCGAACTAAAAAAGCGAAAAATATGTCATAAAATTCCAAACGCTAACTCAATAAAATGATCAACATGCATTTCAATGTTTTTATATTTATTACAGAATTCCATACCTTTTAATTACACCATAAAATCCGTGAATAACTGCATAAAATCTGTGTCAAAACAAATAAAGAATATTAATTTCTAAAAATATGAAAGAAGTTCATCCGATTTTATGAATACAAGCAAGTTTAGAAATGGCAGACAGCTGTCTGTTCGGAATGGTTCGTAAAATTCCATTACCGATTAAACTCGGAAGATTGCGCAATTTTTGAGGCCCTCACATCTCAGGATTACAAACACGTCCAACGATTCAGTTTTCAAATATCTTGAAGATAACAACAGTGATATTTTTTATCTTATAACTCTATTCATTTAGAAAAGTAAATTAAAGTAAATTGCGTGTACTTAAATTTTTAATTCCCGCGTTTCTTTATGTCAGGTGAGCACAAGCAAGTAAATTAACGAGAATAGATTTCTTAATTATTGGTCGTATCACGGATTCAGTTTAATAAATATAAAGACAAAAGCAAATTTCATTCAAATTGCACGTTTTCAAAAATATTTATATTTAGTATGTAATTTTAGGGTAGCACAATTAAATATAGTTTTCGAAGATTTCATTGCTGTGACAGTCGTCATTTGAAAACTATTAGTTTGTTTATTTATGCAAAGTTTTCAAATTCATCCATTTTATTTCTTTCATTTAAAAAATAGATTTTTGTTTTAAATTTTATAATTTTCATATTTCTTATTCATCTCATTTTTATTGCTCTTTTTATTATTTAAAATATATATGTGATATTTCGGTTTAGCAAATTTGTGACCACTGTCAACTTTTACATTTCTTTTTGTTTGTCAGAAAGAATATTTGCAAAAATATGCCGCCTAAGCAAATCGCTCTTAGTCGATCGACATCTCAAGCGCGCAAAAAGAGAACTACCCGTGTTTCAGAAATATCGGAGCAACGGGAAAAAAGATTTGAAACTAATCGAGAACAGAATGCTTTAGCCCGCTCCTTAGAAACGTCTGAGCAACAGGAAAGAAGACTGTCAACAAATCAACTACGAACTACACAAGCCCGTTCGTCGGAAACATCAGAGCAACGGGAAGCAAGAATGAAAACCGACCGAGAACGCATTTCGCTATTCAGACGCTGCCAATACTCTGATTTGAATTTCAGTGCATTTCACTATGATCCGACAACAAACTATAGTCTTCCCCCAAGTGTCATCATCGGAGAAATATATCAATTATGTATGTTTTGTAATGCTCTCAAATTTAAAAATGAAACAGCTGAAATTTGCTGTTCTAGAAGCATACAGAAACTACAAGATTTTACGTCGCCTGCCGAGACATTATCAACCTTCGTATCAGGTCAAACAAACCAATCGAAACATTTTTTGGCGAATATACGCCGGTACAATTCGTATTTCTAAATGACTTCATTCAGTGCTACACGTATCGTGAATGAGAATTACATGCCAGCAATCAAAGTGCAAGGCTAAATTTATCATCGTGCAGGATCACTTCTTCCATTGCCTGGCGCAGATCATAAATTTCTGCAGATTTATTTCATGGATAACACAAATGATCAAGACAATCAACGCTGTCAGGTAAACAATGGCACTAAACGAGAAATTGTTACCGCGTTACAAAATTTTTTCGATCAACATAATCAGTTAATTAGGCTGTTCAGAATTGCCCTTGACTAAATGCCATCCGATATTTACAAAGTTGCTATTAAAGCTGAAAAAACATCTGTAGGCCACCACAAAGGAAAATACAATGCGCCAACATTGGATGAAGTGACTATTGTTATAGTTGGCAAAGAATTTACCTCCCGCGATACAATTCTTCATCGCAGAAATGGTGACGTTCAAAGATTTCTCAGAAACGTTTCGATCCTATGATGCATTGCAATATCCTATTTTATTTTGGCTAGGAGAGGAGGGATATTATTTTAACATAAAATTGAGAAATCCACAAAGAGGCGAGAAAACCAATGAGAAAGCAAGAATAAGAATGTGCAATGAGTTTTTATGCATATAGATTAAGGATTGCAAAAACGCTGATTATCATTATTTTAAAATGTCGATACTTATTTCATCGATACATTGTCGATATGTATGCGAAAATTGAAACTGAACGCCTACTGTATATTAAATTAAATCAAAGGAAATTACGTTCAGAAGAATACATTCATTTACGGCAGTGTTTCCCAAACTTACCTCTTTTGTGTACCCTTTCTAAATTTTTCTTAGCGCTGTGTACCACTAATTAAAAAATTAATATATTTTTTACTATAGAAAAATTGCACAAAAGTTAAAAATCACAACTGGCTGTATGCACCACTAATTATTAACTGTTAACTCTGCAAAAAATAGCCAATAGAAAAGTACGTAATCGAAAATTTTCATTTCTAGCTTTGTTATTAAATAAAAATTTTTGAAATTTTCGTTTGTTGTAAGATATTTCGCATAAGAACGCGTACCCCCACTAAACTGTTCCCGTACCCCTGGGGGTACGCGTACCACACTTTGGGAAACACTGATTTACGGGATGCAATAATTAATGATGGTAACGTTAATCCTAATGATGTGGGGAAAATGATTATATTGCCGACTACATTTGCAGGGAGTCCAAGGCACATGTATGAATACTCACAGGATGCAATGACATATGTTTGCGCATATGGGCTCCCAGATTTATTTATTAAATTTACATGCAATTCTGCTTGGTTTGAAATTAAAGAGCTTTTGTTACCAGGACAATCATAATCGGATTGTCATGATATTACAGCACGTAAGTTCAAACAAAAATTAAAATCTTTACTTGATTTCATTGTGAAGCGTCATGTTTTTAGAGAGACACGGTGTTGGGTGTACTCTATTGAATGGCAAAAACGAGGATTGCCTCAGGCACACATTCTAATTTGGCTTATTGAAAAAAAACCACCTTCTAAAACTGATCAGATATCAGCAGAAATTCTTGATGTCACCATAGATCCAGTCTTATTTCAGATCATTGTCCNTTGGATGTACTCTATTGAATGGCAAAAAAGAGGATCGCCACAAACACACATATTTTGATTTGGCTTATTGAAAAAATCCCTCCATGCCAAACTGATCAGATATCAGCAGAAATTCCTGATGTCGCCATAGATCCAGTCTTATTTCAGATCATTGTCCAAAATATGTTTCATGGTCCGTGTGCATCACCATACATGTCTGTTTAAAAACGCACTAACGATATCCTAGAGAATTAACTGCTGAGACTATCACTGGTTTTTTTCACCATTAAAAAAATTTGCATTTCAAATTATAATCGCAAATCTCATTTACACACTTAAATACAAAATTAAAATTCAAACTGAAAGCGTTGCAACGCACGCAGGGTACAGCTAGTAATAAATATTTGCTAAAATTTCGTCTTTGCATGGCTTTGGATAAACAATTTTCGTAATTGTGTGTAAAAGTTTTTCAATTTGCTTAAAAGAATCTCGAGATATGGCAAAATATGCATAAAGTCTAATGACCTCCTGACCAAATTTTCCAGACTGGGACTATCCCGTACATTATAGGGGTCATAAATCCGAATTCGCTGAAAAAAAGGTATGTTTATTCCGAGAAAGTACGTTATTTTGGGTCTGATTTCGTAACTTAAAATATCATCGCAACTAACTAATTACCATATTTGAAGTAACCCCCTTGAACCATTAAGAATGAGTTCTAGAACGTGAAGATCCCATCATTAGATCAAAAGTTATTTAGGGCGGTCCTTTTTTCTTTTTTTTGTTTGCTCTCTCTCTCTCTCTCT